CAAACACTTGGCCTTAAAAAAATTAAAAAGTAGAAAAAATAAAAAATAAAAACAAGATGAGGCTAACGGATTTTGGTGGCCCTATTTTGAGTGAAAAATAAAAAGTAGTAAAAAATAAAAACAAGTTGAGTAAAAACAAGAGGGTTAAGGATGTCTTTACTTGGATTGAAATTTTCTGGTCTGACATGGTCTGAACTGGTAAGTTTTGATTCATGTGTATTTTATAACTGTCCAAGTCTGATCTGGGACTGAAAACAGTCAAAGTAAAAACATCCTAAAACTTAATAGATAAGCGTGGTCCTGTTTTTTTTTAATTTTATTTTAGCATCAGAAGCATTTTAAAAGAGGTGTAAGTAATTCTGTAATTCCATTTAAAAGCTAAAAGAGGGAAGGGAGAAGAGTCAAGAAGTTTTTTTAAGGAAACTAGGTTTATATAAAAATATAAAATCAAGAGTTACAATCAACCAATAGCTCCAATGTCACCATCTATCTTTCACCAAAATGCATCTAAACTCAATAGACGCCCTACCATAAGATTCCGAGATGACTACCTCCAAAGAAGCAGCACAAACTGCTGACCACCAAATGAGCAACACAAAGTTCTTATAGACTTTAAGGTCACTGTACTCTTAGTTTAATATATATATATATATATATATATATATATATATATATATATATATATATATATATATATATATAAACCAAAAAAAATTGAGGCTAGATCGGGGTTGAGACCAGACCGACCAGTTAGAGGATCAAAATTGGAAAAAAGATCTTGATTTTGATTCCCATGTTTTGGCACCAAGGGACGATCGGTCCGGGACTGAAACCAGATCAAGTCCACCCTCCATTGACATAATCACATACTCATATACCCATCTCCATTTACATTTGATTTTGAAGAAAAAATAAATAGAGAAAAGGGTCACATAGCCCCTTTACTATCATCGAATAAGTGTCATACTAGTCTGTCTACTCATTAGAATAGTCTGTCTACTCAAGGATAACCGAGCTCCCTCAAATGGATTACAATTGAGGTATAACCCACCGAAAGGCAAACCCTTAGATTCTGCGGATATGATTGTGTCCACTATGATTTAGATGTGGGTATTTTGTCTTGTTGGTTGCTTTAATGGGGAATTTCCCACCCTTAGGCGATCTATGACTTGAAAAACACTTGGGGTATTAAGTGTGTTGTTAAGCCCCGTGATAAAGGGTGGGTTATTTTTAAATTTCAAAATGATGAAGATATAACACAAATGTTGAATGATGGTCCATATACCACTTTCGGGAAACAACTTATGCTAAAAGCACTCTCGGAAGACTTTTCATTTGATGATGAATAATTTCCTAAAGTCCACATTTGAGTTAAATTTCCTAATTTACACATAAAACTTTGGAATGAGGATGCTATGAGTGAAGTTGCACCTATGTTTGGGCCCCGTTGACTACGGACAAAATCACATAAGATAAAGGCAATCATACTTTGCTAGAGTTTTAATTGAAATTGATGTTTCAACCACCTCCGTTACCTTTTCCTATTCGACTACCCTCTCGTAAGATAGTCAAACAATTTGTGGTGTATGAAACATTCCCAACTTTTTCATTTTCATCGTAAAGAATATGGACATCACCCATTTATTTGCAAGAAATTGACAATAAAGGAATGGGATGATACTATGGTTGAGAAGAAAAGAAGATTTAGAATGAGATTAAAGAGAGTGAACATAAGGTGACAAATCAAAGAGAAACAAGAAAAATGATTTCTCTCCTCCAAACTGCGAAAGAGTAAAACAACTTTTCTATGAAGTTGGATATCAGTCTCACCCATTGAAAATGAATCATCAATTAACAACGATTTAGAATTACGAACACTATTTCATTATTTCATCTACCTGATTTACTCCAATTATGACTCGCCTCACAAGCTAGTAACTCCAATTGGAGACGAGTCATAACTGGAGTAAAACAACTTTTCTATGAAGTTGGATATCAGTCCCACCCATTGAAAATGAATCATCAATTAACAACGCTTTAGAATTACGAACACTATTTCATTATTTCATCTACCTGATTTACTCCAACTATGACTCGCCTCACAAGCTAGTAACTCCAATTGGAGACGAGTCATAACTGGAGACGAGTCATTCTGAAGCATTGTTTGTTGACTATTGGTTTTCAACGTGTGAGACTGATATCCAACTCCATAGACATGTTGCTTTCCTTCTTTGCAATTTAGAGGAGAAATCATTTTTCTTGTTTCTCTTTGGTTTACGGTGGTGTAAATCCTTCCAATTTAGTACTTGCAACCCGTAGCATTTCATTGATAATGTTGTCATTATTTCTCTCAACAAACTCTCCACCCAAAACACCTTCATGTGCATCGTCCCTAGCATTATCCAGTGCTACGATTTCTGTCTCGGCGTTTTCTGGTGCGGTTACTGCGCGGCAGATTCCGCCATTAGTTCCAATGCATCCCCAAGCTCCTCATTATCCTCAATCATTACTTCATTCTCCATCTTTCCCAAATCGACATGTTTCTTTACCATCTCTTTGAACTCATTCAAAGTATTTCTCCCTCTTTTCCCTCTCTGTCACCTTATGTTCACTCTCTTTAAACCCGTTCAAAGTCTTTCTCCCACTTCTTAACCATAGTATCATCCCATTACATTGTTGTCAATTTCTTGCAAATAAATAGGTCATGTCCATATTCTTTACAATGAAAACATAAATTGGGGAATGTTTCATACATCACAAATTGTTTGACTACCTTACGAGAAGGTAGTCAAGTAGGAAAAGATAACGGAGGTGGTTGTAAAACATCAACTTCAATTACAACTCTAGCATAGTTATGAACTTATGATTGCTCTTATCCTGTGTGATTTTGTCCGTAGTTAACGGGACCTCAACCATAGATGCAACTTCATTCATATCATTCTCATTCCAAAGCTTCATGTGTAAATTATGAAATTTAACCCAAACGAGGACTTTAAGAAATTCTTCATCATCAAATGAAAAATCTTCCGAGATAGGGGGCCTTCATTCAACACTTTTGTTCTATCTTCATCATTTTGAAATTTAAAAATAATCCACCCTTTATCATGGGTATATAACAAGGCATTTACAACCCCAAGTGTTTTTCAAGTCATAGATAGCCTTAAGACTGAAAAATTTCCAAGTAAAGCACCCAACTAGACAAAATCCCCACATCTTAATCATAGTGGGAATAATCTTATCCGCAAAATCCAAGGAATTCCTTTCGATGGGATATACCTCAATTTTAAGCCATTTCAGGGAGCTCGGTATCCTTGAAAAGAGATCCATGTTTTCTCATTTGCCTTTTGAATTATTTCAGCCTCATCCATTGGCTTCACAAAAATTTTAGCCACATGCACCAATTTTTTTATGCACGATTGCCATCCCAACTGTTTTATCCAAGTTTCAGTATGCTCAGGCCTATTAGGATTAGCAATACCTGAAATTTTCCCAATAGTAGCAGTGTTCATGGTTCCTGGAATTATCCCAGCAATAGCATCAGATTGCTCCAGCGTACCTGCTGCTAGAATTCCCTCAATTTGCGGCCCAGGCACCAGCTCGACCACAGTAATGGCAGGTTTCTTATTTTCCTGCATCTTCCCACCATCCCGATTATTTTTCCCAACAGGAGCTTTGATGTGCGTGACACCAGCCTCTTCAATATCAGTATCATTGACCTAACAGCCCCAGGTTGGACCAATTGTCCTGGCTCCTCCAAGTTGTTCAGAGTTCAGGAACGAGATTTCATCATTCGTGTTTTGCAGAACTGCAAATCTCGAACTTGATCTCGCGGTTCTCGTTGTGAAGGGCTCTACGGACCCCTGTTTTTTCTTTGCCATTGTAGCCTTGTAGGTGCTTGTGGCTGAAAAACGACCATACCTGTTATTCTCTGTAATCAAATTTCCAGCGTCCCTGATCAAGAAAGGCATACAACAGGCTGGTGAGCTCCTAACCAAGCTTGGATTCCAAAATAGGACGCCAATTTGGAGGAGCCAAACTAGATTCATCATCGGTTGCTGGACTGGAATAGCCATCTGATTTGTCAGATGGCTATCTGCTGATCTTTCTCACACATCATCGACTGTTGGACTGAGAACTATACAGGATGCATTTGATCCAAAATTAGGTTCAACAGGTTTATTTAAGTTCACTTATCCAAAGAGGCTGTTAGTTTAGTCGTTTTCCATTTAGTCCAAAATTAGGTCTATCTGAGTAAATGTTCTTGATACTACCTAATTACCTATCATGGACTAAGAACCGGCTGGTCTGTAATCAAACTGGCCCAAATCTAGCCTAATGGTGGAGGGTATGTAGTGCTAGGGATGGACCGGGCCCAGGCCGCCCGGCCCGTGAACCGGCCTGGCCCGCTACTGTGCGGGCCCGGACCGGCCTGGTCTTGGGTAACCGGTTCCGGGCCTAGGCCCGGCCTGGGGATTGGGGCGGGCCGGGTACGGGCCTTAAATATAGTGAACCGGTCCGGGCTTTTTTTTTCAAGTCTTTTTGTTTTTCCCGGGTAGGGCTGGGTGTTTTAGGGGGTTTGGGGGTGGGGGTGAGGGGGGGTCGGGGGTTAATTAGAAAAGCAGAAGAAAAAAAATAACATTGAATTGGACCAGCCCGGACCGACCCGACCCGGAACCGCTGGCTACCTGGGACGGTTCCGGGCCTCACTCCCCCCCAAAAAAAGCCCGGTTAGGCCCGGCCCAGAACCGGTCTATGCCTGTAGTGCCACACTGCCACCAGACAAAGTAGACCAAACGAAATTTAAAGATCATTTTAGACTACATGTCTGGTCTAGACCATTAAATTACCAGTCCTTGTTATAATATTCATAATTCCACTTTTGTGTTGAAATAGTAAAAATTAAAAACATAACTTTTGTGTTGAAATAGTAAAAAGTAAAAACATAAACACCACGGCCAAACAAGTTTTCTAGATTAATGTGCATTTTTTTTTGCAAAAAAGGAGAATGAAAAGTGCATAACTAGAAATGAAAATTGTTTTTGATCTCTATGGGAGAAAATAAATTGAATACCCCCAATGAAAGTTCACTCCATTTTCCTCCACTCCTGGAACCTCTATAAAATGATTGGGGTTTATAATCAAGTTCAACAACATTAATCGTGGTCAATACAACTTTAATAGTGGACAATACAACATTACAATTTCTAAAACACTAAGCCACAATCATTAGCAATGAGTAAAGAATACTAACATATGGTGGGGGCAAAATTATCTCTTCACAGGCAATTGAATCACTTTCCCGTTGCTAACAGTTGCATCCATGCCTATTCCAGATTCCTCACTCTCAAAGAAAGAATAATGAAGTGCCTTGACACACTTCTCTGCTTCACTGTCATTTACAATCAATGATATATTTACCTGGAAAGCAAAACAACAAACCGATGCATATTACAGTCATACAAAAACCAAGGCAAGTTCCTTTACGAGTTACCAAAAATAAACATAAAGAATGGCATACCTTTGATGCTCCTTGTGAGATCATCTGCACATTAACATCATTTGTCCGGAACACCCTGAAAGCCTGCAGAACAGTATGTTACCCAAAACATAAGTATTACTCCCTTCCGTCCCGCTAAGGTTGTCCCAGTTCATATTCACTTGGTCAACACAATTTCTTACTTTATATATCAAATTTTTATCAAATTTGATTCTGATTTTTGCGACTTTGTAAAGCTTTTAATGTAGTTTCTAAATATGTAATTTTTGTTTTCTAAAAATAATTTGAGTGCGAACAGCCGGGAGAGGGATCTGTTTGCTTTATTGTCGGTCAAGCATCGTAAACCGAATTGTCCCATTCTTAGTGGGACGGAGGGAGTATGTGGGTTTGTGTCACATAGGCTTGAGCTTATTTATTAAGCTGCTTTGAGTTATCTTTTGAATACAAGCACACTGTTAGCTTTTTGTTTATAAAATCCCTTATCAGCTTTCCTTATTTTAAGTTATTCTTTCAACCTATCATGTTGCGTTATTTTCTATTTCTATGCTAGCTTCTGAGCTACTATTGCCAAACTCCGATATTGAGATCAATGTTTTTCATCTACCAGCTCTGAAGTGAGCTATGAGTTAGTTATCAACAAGCAAATTAGCTTGTTTATTTCATGTTAAAGCCGTTTGTTAAGGGTAATTGTGAAAATCAGCTAAATAGATGAACTTTCTAAATAACAAAAAACCATATCCAAAAAATATTTTCTTAATGAGCTCAAGAAAATAACTTCTTACAAGGAGAATGCAAGTGTAAAAATGTTGCAATTCAACCACTTAAGCAAAAAAGAAATTAGCTTTTGCGCTATTTCAGTTTGTGCAGTCAATGTATTAACAAACAAGCACAAGGCCCGTTGCTGACATCTTTTAATCCCTTTAGGCAACAGGTATTTTAAAACGAGAAACTCCCAGAACTTGATTGGATGATATTGGATTATTCATACTATCATAGCAGGGAAATATATAAAGCACCTTCTCCAATATCAAAGAAGAATATTGGACATTTCCAATAAGGGAGATGATGGATTTGTTCGGCAACAGGTTTACCACTGCAAATTTTCCCAGCTCTTCAACCACATGATCAAGTTCCTGCTAAACCATTACACAGATAATTAACAGCCTCTGTGCAGATAAATAGATTATTTATTTACTGTTAAGTTTGTAAAAAGATAATTGGACTTTGCCTGCTGAATGAGTTCTCTGCTCCAAATTTTTGAAGGGTCCAGTGTCACGGATATACTGACTTCACTTGTTGCAACAACGTCAACAGAAATCCCCATCTCTTCAAATATTGAAAAAACCTACACAGCGAAAAAAAGTTGCATCACTGTGTAGGTTGAAAAAACTAGGACCATGTGTTTGGATCCCAGAAAATGCAAGAGAAAGGAAAGAATCTTACAAGGAAAGTCATGTTCATACGTTCGGATTTACCTCAGAAAAATGCCAAGGAAAATGAAATATTATTCATATTTTGAAAGTATATATATGTGGTTAGATTGCTTAGACGCTTAGTATTTATATAATGCAACTAAATAACTAAAAACGAATTCAAACAAACATTAAAAATAAGTCTATTGAGATTGAACAAATGTTTTGTTTTCCTCGTCATTTTTTTCTTCCAAATTTCTCCAATACTTTCATTCTCTAGCTCTTTCAGTTTTCCTAAAGGACTCTAATTAGAATGCGAAAAGAAATTTGAACATTCACCTTTGCAAGGAAGCCAAATTGACCAAGCATTCGGGTACTAACTATATCTAACATGGTGACATTCTGCTTCAAGACTATACTGGTCAGTAACACCTGTAAAGATGAGCATAAAAGAGCGTATACAAAGGTCAGTAAAACCTGTTAAGATGCTCATAAAAGAGCATATATATACACGGAGATATCATTTGCATACTGGGAAAAATTGTTAACCAATTAGGTAACCATTGTGTCAAGAAATTGTAAATTACTCAATCCGAAAAAGGAGTCATGTCAAAATACTACACCTTTTTATTTTTGGCAAGGTACATTTGTAATCAGTATAACTCCTACATTTAAAAAAAACTATGAAACTTTTAACTAAAGTTATCAACTTGAACTTGTTTGTGTTGTTATTCAAGTTTTTGGCAAATCAGTTGAAAATTTATCATCCCTTCGACTGAATATGACTCTTTTTAAGGGACAAAAAGGGACTCTCTTTAAAGGGCAGAGAGAGTAAATGTAAAATAGTTAAGATATAGTAACCTGGCTCATTTCTCTGCATTTAGTTATGATGGTACCGGGAGCTCTTGGATTATATGAATTTTTAACCCTGACGGGGATATCACCCTCCCTAGCTGGCCTCATAGATTGAGGATGCAGAACCTGCAGAAAAGTAGGGTTATGTGAAATGTTATAGCGATATTAATGTAGGAGGTTTTTGATAGTGTGGTAGTACTATATACTTTATTAAAGTGTAGATTTCTTTCCACAATTGGAAAAGGAATATGAGACAGTTAAAGTGTAGATTTCTTTCCAAAAATGGAAAAAGAATACGAGACAGTTACAGTAATACGCAGGGAGTAGATTTATTTGTGATCATAATCACCTGTCATTCATTTTCAAATATGCCATTGAACAAGATATAGATTAGGCACTCAAACTCGCCCTCCCCTACAAACCCCTCCATCCAAACAGACCCTTAGAGTTAAGGGTCTGTTTGGATGGACGATTTTGGAGCAGTGACTTGGTAAGACTATATCTCAAATCTCAATACAGACTTAAGATTTAATGAAAAATGAAGAAATAACATAATAGGTGATCATATCACATTTTAATCACCATTTAATCATTTTTTAAAACATTTTATATATGGTGATATAGTGACATACAATAAACGTTTAATCAGTTAAAGTAATACGCAGGGAGTAGAATTATTTGTGATCATGATCACCTGTCATTCATTTTCAAATATGCTATTGAACAAGATATAGAATAGGCACTCAAACTCGCCTTCCCCTACAAACCTCTCCATCCAAACAGACCCTTGGAGTTAAGGGTCTGTTTGGATGGACGATTTTGGAGCAGTAACTTGGTAAGACTATATCTCAATATATACTTAAGATTTAATGAAAAATGAAGAAATAACATAATAGGTGATCATATCACATTTTAATCACCATTTAATCATTTTTGAAAACATTTTATTTATGGGGATATAGTGACATGCATCAAAGTCTTCACCTCCAAAACTATACATTCAATCTGACATTTAACGGACACCCTTCCATTAACTCCATAAATGTTTAGGAACAAGTAGAACTAAGGTATAGAGATACAAATAGCTGAAAGATGACCTGAGCTCCAAAGTATGCAAGCTCAGTAGCCTCCTCGAAGGTCAGATGAGGCACAGGCTTTGCACATGGATGAATAGTTGGATCACAAGTTAGAACGCCATCGACGTCTTTCCAAACCTGTTAGTTAGAAAGGAAACCACATTTGAAGCTCTTATTCCTTCAAATCAAGGTTGAAATGACAATACAGCCCTCATAGTTTTTTGGTACCTGAATCTCCCGCAATTCCAAAGCTCTCCCAAGTGTTGTAGCTGTCAAGTCACTGCCACCCCTACCTAGAGTTGTAATTTCGCCTGATTTACATCCCTGCAGTTGCAACACCAACATGCAACATCATCTTAATTAAGTTTTTGGTAAATATAAATATATGGCTAAATTGTGCTTTTTATTTATTGAAAATAGTACTTTCTTTTAGTTTAGGTCGATGTATAACTATTTTTTGCATTATTCATCATTGTAATTTATATGTCATCGCCTTGAGTCCTCTGTCAGTCTCCTCTAAGAAGGAAGAGAACTGGTATGGCTCACGGAACTTAAGTCTGGCTTTTTCAAATTATTTTTTGAATACTTATGTGCAAAGTCTAGTTGAGAGTTGTATTGAGTCACAACATTTCATTGAACGGAGGTTGAGGAATCGACAAAAATGAAAACAACGTAAAATAAAAGGATGGATAGCAAAAAACTGATATATTTGTAAGGGCGGAAACTTATTAACGTAAAGAAAGGTTTAAAATTTTATGTGCCAAGAAGCAAGTGAAATTCAGTAGCTCTGTTCGAATGATACCTTTCCAAGGAAGCCAGTAACAACAGGAATTGCATGATCTTTGACCCAAGCTCTGTACAATCTCCTAGCAACTGCAGGATAAGTAGCATCTAAGATATCTGCACTTGTGAAGTCATCTGTTGTAATAAATCCAATGTCAAATGCATCATACTGCAAAAGAATAAGAAAATTGGCACAATCCAATCAGCCTGATTTTATTGGTTCTCAACAACAAAGAGTTAAACATGAAGTTGACAAAAACTTGTTACTGTTCATTTATACGGCATATAATTTCATCCCGCCCACACCATGTATTAAGAAGGGCTAGTTATGTTCTTAGGTTCATTTTTAGATTAGTGTTATATAATGATTCCAAAATTAAAGAGGTATTGGTAATCTGAGCACCTGCAGAAATTAATTCGTAGCAATGACACGTAAGTAGAGTCATAGTCGATTCAGACACAAATCACACAATTGAGTCTACCATTGTCCTGGATAAAATCAAGAAACTTGCAATCATAATGACTTAGAGCCAGTATGATGGAGGGTTTTGAAGGACAAAGTCTGTATCTCGATATAGATTCCGTAGAATGTTTCTTAAACAAATAAAGAATTAATGAAATGATATATAATTACCTATCGAGTTAATCACTTAATCTTGCAATTTTTATAAAAATCTCAACTATATCTGCTCCCAAAACCCTTCATCAAAACTAACCCAAAAGGTGATTGAAATGACATATAATCACCTATTATCTAAAGATCCATCTTGATAAATAGAATGCTTCTAAAAACTAATGAAGGATGATTGAAATGACATAATCACCCAGCATGTTATTCCTTCAACCATAAAATCTCAAATATATATCCAGAAGTGAAGATATAGAGCCCGTTTGTAACACTAATAATGGTTGAATTGGTTGATACTGCCCAAATCATTTAAAGTTCTAGCTGAAGCGGAGAATTGGCTAAATCTGATGAAGATTATACTCCGTATTTAAGATGTATTTTATTAATAAAATAAATAAATAAAATTATGAAAAATAGCTAAAATGACCCTCTACATAAGTTCAGCTAATTTAGCAAAGTATCTCCAGTCTTACTTATTTTTATTATTACACAACTCAACGCGTGAAATCAAAAGTTCTGTGTTTGGTGAAAAAGTTGGCAGATAAGGTTGATACGCCGAAAACAAGTGTCACCAAACGGGCTCATAATCTTAACCCTCAAAAGCTCTCTCCTCCAAAGTGTACTTATCATTGGTTGGAGTTCGGAAAGATGTTTTTTGTGATAGAGGGTCTTGGAGGGAGACACTTTGGAGGGTTAACCTAACCAATCCTTAACAGTTAAAGTGTGCCTGTCACGGTGCACAAAATGCAAACATTGTATGGTTTCCTTTAAACCTCTCAGGCAACTGACAAGTTAATCAAAAACTTGAGTGTAAATCCTCAAACACAGGAAAGGGTGGGAGAAACATACTTGCTGTGCTTTGGCCCCAATACTATTCAAATAAGCAGCAAATATCCGGGTGGACAAGCGCTCTCCGAAAGACACTAGCTTGTCTTTGGTGCGAAGAGTGAGCTCTTTCACCATAGCTATTCCATTCAGAAGATGGTCCAATTGTTCCAAATGTTCTATAGGATGACAAATAAAATTGCACAATCAGAGCTCTAGCTCTAGAAAATTGAGACATAAATATGAGACCAGTTTAGACCAGCTGAATAAATACATGGGAAGTAAGATAAAATAAATAAACTCTTTAATTACAATGTATATTCATTGTAAATAATCTGATAATATACTTTTTTGTGTCGGATTGAACTCATTGAAGTATAATAACATGATGTTTACATTTAAATAACTAGAAATTCCATACCAGAAATAATAGAAACATCCAGTCCTAGTTCTTGTACCGTCCTGAATTGTAGCAATTAAAGAAAATGTAACTTTTCGTAAAATAGCAACATATACTGGAGTATAAAGGAGAGTAATGCCAGCATAAAATAAAATCTGTTTTCCCTAAAAAAATAAAACTTGAATCTTTAATTACATCACCTGAGGTGAAGTTCCTTTACAGTGGTAAGCTCTTCAATTTCTGATACATTTGATACACCACAACTCAAAGCCTTCTCTCCTGCCTACACATAATGGAAACTCATTAATTTATCAAAGAAGTAGTTCAGACTTCAAATTTTTCCACAAGGAACCATTTAATTTCACCATTCTTCACAAAATTCAAAACTTTCCATCATGTTAAAAAATGAAAGAGCTAGAGCAGTGCGAGCAGGGGAGGAGCATACAAACAGTAAATTATTGGTAGTCTTTCCCATAGCAGAGAGAACAATAACTGGCCTTTCCTCTGGAAATGCAAGAATCAAATCAGCAACCTCCAGCATCCGCTTAGCAGAAGCAACCGACGACCCGCCGAATTTCATCACGCAAGTCAGTTGCTGCCCATCATCGCATCTCTTCCATTCTTCTTCTTCTATTTCTGCTTCTTCTTCAGGAGAATTACACTTGAAACACGACTCTTCGCCATACACCCACACTTTAAACGAACTCCTGTCATTAGCAGAGATTGATGAGGCTGGAATTTGAAGAGATGCAGTGGCGGGATTGAAGAATTTCAGGGTATTAGCGAGAGGGGCCGCCGCCGAGGAGCTGGATAATTTGGGGGTAGTGAAGCTAAATAGCTGGTATGGCGTTTTAACGCTACAGTGGGTAAAAGAAATTGGCATTTCTGCTCCGGAGTGGTATGGAGCTTTTGGAGAACGGTGCTGGGTGGCAGTGAAATCAGCAGTACAGCAGTGACACAAGTGACTAACTAGGGTCGTTAGCGGTTACTAATGGGAAATTAGTCTGTGGGCTGAACACGATTTTGTTGCTGGGTTTGTAGTTCTGAATTAGACCCCCCTGGTCTTTTGGGCCTGAAGTTCTTCTGTACTACCTTCGTCCTCCTGCTATGATTTTCTCGTTTTACCTTATTGATTCGTCCCACTAAGATTGTCACATACCAAATTTGGCAAAGTTTGTGTACCTCTAAATCATTCTTACTTTATTCTTACTTTATCGATTCAATTTGAACCACACAAACCATTTTTTATTGATTTGTGTGTCACTCCCTCAGTCCCTCTTGTTCCGAATATATAATTGAATATATAATTGAAGGTTAAGTTTTCGCAACCCTAATTTGGGCATTTGCGTCCAACTTTTCCAAGAGAGTTGAGAGCCGTTACTCATCACCATAGCTATTGAAGAGTACTTAGAGCATCCACAATGGTATACGGTTAACATGCTAAAAAAATTGACACGTGGCAATTAATATATGGATCTGTCAACCACATCACGTTGTAGTCATTAAGTGAACATTGAGATCCCAGAATTCCTGTGCAATGCTCGATGTTTAACAGCCCATATTTCACCGACGTGTAAAATAACTCATTTTAATTATATTGCTCTTGAATCCCAAAAACATTCCAGATGCGCCGGCTTCTATGCAAAATACTCCGTAGTTATCAATTCACATCATTGCCGGCTTCTATGCAAAATACTCCGTAGTTATCAATTCACATCATTGATTATTGACGGATCAAAAGCCATACAACTATCTTCTTTGATCAATGACTTCTGGGTTTTAAAAAAATACGTAGAGGTAATGCTTACGTATATCAATTCATTTAATTTGATCTATCATCTATTATTCAAATCATTTGATCTATATCTATTACTTTTAATTTCTATGAAAATCTTTGATTAAAACTATTTAATTTGTTTATTTATTACTCCCTCCGTCCCAATTTGTAAGATACTTTACGGTTTACGATGTTTGATCGACGATAAAGCAAATTGATCCCTGTCAACACTCAAATTAGTTTTAGAAAATAAAATTTACATATTCAGAAACTACATTAAAACCGCTACAAAACCTGCAAAAAATAATTCAAATTTAATAAACTTTTGCTATATAAAGTAAAAGATTAAGAGTGATTTATGTTGACCAAGTGAATAGTAAATGTATCTTACAATTTGGGACTGAGAGAGTATTATTTTTATTGAGCCTCTTGATGACTTTTTGAAAATAATATATAGTTTTTGTAAACAGATTAGTTTTGATAAAAATGACAACACCTAGTTATGACTCGGATTCCAATAGCTCATCATCTAGCGATGATTCGCTACCGTTATCTACACAAATGCTGAATCAACTAAGGAGGGACGGTGACATTTTTGCGGAAATGAACATTGATGTAGTGGAGACATGTGCAGTTCAAGTCCCATTGATATTGTCTCCTATGCTAATATGTAGCAAAGGTCCTCATGGCGGTTCAATAAGTGGTAGACGATATATAAATCGTGATAGGAAAGAACGACATGATCTAATTGTCAATGATTATTTCAATGGTGAGAACTCAAAGTATACACCTGAGAAATTCCGTCGACGATTTCGGATGGACATCGAATTATTTGAACGAATTTTGAGAGCAATTGAGGCCTATGATGATTATTTTACACAAAAGGTTGACGCGGTCGGAAAACCCGGGTTAAGTCCTTTACAAAAAATCATAGCTTCAATACGTATGTTAGCATATGGTTGTGCAGCAGATATTCTTGACGAGTATGTCCAAATTGGAGAGAGCACAGCAATTGAGAGCTTGAAACGATTCTGCGATGCTATAATTGGCATTTTTGAAAAGCAATATTTACGAAAACCGAACAAAGATGATGTTGCACAACTTTTGAAAGAGGGAGAAGACCGTGGATTTCCAGGTATGCTTGGTAGTTTAGATTGTATGCATTGGCATTGGAAAAATTGTCCAACGGCCTGGCACGGGACACATACTAACGGTTTCAAAAGAGTTCCAACTCTTGTTTTGGAAATTGTAGCTTCTAAAAATTTGTGGATTTGGCATGCATTTTTTGGAATGGCCGGTACAAATAATGATGTTAATGTTTTAGATAGATCTCCCTTATTTGATGACCTTATTAATGATAGAGCACCACTATGCAATTATGTAGTGAATGGTCATCATTACAATATGGGGTACTATTTATCAGATGGGATTTATCCGGAATATGCCACTTTAATCCAAACTATCTCAAATCCATCTTCTCTCAAGGAAAAAATATTTGCAAAGCATCAAGAGTCTGTAAGAAAAGATGTAGAACGAGCATTCGGAGTACTGCAAAGTCGGTGGCATATTATCAAAGGTCCAGCACGTATGTGGAACCAAAAGGATTTAGGAAAGATTATGAAAACATGTATCATTTTACATAACATGATTGTTGAAAGTGAGAATAGTCAAGGCATTGATCCTCAAAGTTGGCAATCCGAGGGAGAAGATACAAGTGACAATGTTGTTCCGGATCATGATTTTACCTTCCTTTTTTCAAGGATGAAGACTCGAATGAAGGAAATACAAAATAAAAGATTGCACCGAGAGTTAAAGACCGATCTCATAAATCATTTGTGGGAGTTACATGGTGGCCAACAAGTTGATTGATCTTTTATTAAAATGACTTCATATATCTTATTTGAACTACTCATACAGCTGGAAATTCATTTCTATTTCTTTGTTTTCTAATAATACGTTAGAGCATTTAATTTATTGCTCTTTTCATGTGTACTACATTTAATTTTGACTATTATGTTCTCTTTTATTGCATTGTTTTTCTTTTTGGTATCCCCTCTTTGTTTGAATAATCATTTTTGTTAACTACTGGTTGAATAACTGGAAGTGACAAAATTTGACTGTTTGATAAAGAATCAGTAACCACAGTTGACAACAACCGGATCCACCTGTGGTATGTTGTAGCTGACTGGAGTACTCAAGATCAAATTCATCCTCATCATAATTATTCCAGGATGAAGTTGGGAATGTGCTCTGTAAAATACTTGTCATCTTTACACACTCAATCAAGAATCTTGAAATCAGAACATACTTACAAATTACAAGTCCCCTCAAACTTAATTTCTAACCCAAAATATTTACTTTAAAATAATTAACCCGTTAAGAGCTACTTATACTCAAATAGATCACTTTTGGCTGCCAAACACATGCTACAAGCTAAACAGTTGCAAAATACTAAACAATTAGAATTTAAAAGTCTCTGGTGCAGTGGTGCTGTAAAAGTGGTAGGCTGGGATTTTCACAAGAATGAACTATATGCTCATTATAAAATTAGAGGTCAAGAATTAACACATATTGTAAAAAATGACAAATACAGACGCTAGCAAGTCATCGCAACTAGAGTAAGCAGAGATTTCGTAACAAACAACATGGCAGTGCCAAAAAGAAAACAATGCATGAGAAAATAATGTCCAACGAATGGCTAAACAATGCATGGAAAAAATAGGAAGAACCCTTAAAACTATCTGATTAAAATGCTACTATCAACAAATGGCTAGACAAGGAGTGCAATCTTGAACGTCAAGTGCTGGACATGGATAAAAAAGAAATCAGTATTAGTTTAGTCACAATTCATTCAAAGTCAATATAAAAATAGATAAAATATGTACTTAACATTTACCTAGTAGATCCAAAGAGACCATCTTTTTTCCATTCTTTTATAATATTTGCTTGCATTTCTTCATATGCCGCTCAAGTAGTTGGTGAGAGCTTACTTAGATCTTGATTCATAATATGTTCCCGCTCTTTCCTCCTTTGAGCATTCTTTTTCAATTCAATCTCTTCTTTTATGAGTTGTTGTTTCAATTGAAATTCTTTTTGATCATTCTCTTTTCTCATCTCCAAAGCTGTAATATTCACGTTAACTTGTTTCTCTAAAGTGCTTTGTAGCTTGTTCAACACATCCACCACACCTTTTTCCTCATGTACCTTTCTTTTTCTTTCCTTACAAGCCTTTCTTCCTTGGGGACGAATGACCCCATCTGAGTTAGTACCTCCAAAGGCCATAGTTTCTTCATCAATACTCGTTGCATGATCCTCTCGTACAGGTGAGCTGGAGGTGTGAACAGTTTTTTTATTTGTTGATGTTGGCTTCACATGTTCGGAGTACCATTTTGGATTTTTACTCATTATTTCCCAACAGTGGAGATATTTGAATGGGCTTCCTTGAATGTCTTCATACGATCCCATTGCCTTTTTTATCTAAGAGAAAAACATTAAACAATTTTTAATAGCATATTTTGAGGTAATACTCAATACTAAGACCATTTCTCAAACATTGAACATGGTAAGTAGAAAATGTTCTATAAAACAGCATTATTAAAAATTTATCACTTACCAAATCATCCAAGTTTGTGCCACTCTGTGGATGCCTATCTAGTCGCTCATAATGTCCAATGAACTTATTCACCGTTGCTTGTATTTTCCCCCAATGCAATTGCAAGTTGTTGCTGTTTCTAAGAGGATTGCATCTAGCCCCCATATTTTCTTTAAAGACTTCTACTATTCTCACCCACATAGAAGTACTTTTCTGATTGTTTCCGATGTCTGAATCCATCGATACGTGTAACCACGCGTTCGTCAATGCTACATCTTCCTCTTTAGTCCATTCTTTTCTAGAACTCGCAGCTTGAGGCATTATTGGGATGTCATCACTTTTCTTTCTTGATCTTTTTGTTGAACTCTCAAATTGAGCATTGGCCACTGGAGTATTTAATATCGGAGAATTCAAGAGACCTTGGAATGATATTTTAGATCCATATTGGTCCACACAATAAGGATACATCCCATTACTTTGGTTGAAGTTGTAAGCAGGTTGAACCGGTGGAGTTGGGTGAAGTGATTGATTTGGGAGTTGAGATGGTATCATGTAATTGTACTGATACTGAGAACATGAGAAGGTCTCCGAGTCTTGTGAATCCATATCTATTTACCTACCTACAAAATATAAGCCTCGTAGATAATAAATGAATGTTATGTTCACAATTAATTCTAGGTTTTGTTAAAGAAATTATTGTATTTCAGGATGCAAAGAATAGCAAGTATATGTAATAGGACCATTGTGTATAGCCATGAAAAACTCACAAAAAGGGATGCAAATAATAGGCAGTATATGTCATAAGGCTAGGTTTTTTTGGCTATTGGATCTTGAAAGCCAATTTAGAACGTGTTTTCTCAATTCATTACAAAATCAACAGATTTTAGAAAGTGAAAAGTTGTTTCTAAGAGAGCTTTTGGCCTTTTCACTTTTCCAATTGAAATCTGAGGCAAATTTCAACAAATCTACTTTAGTAAATGGACTTAAAGAATCACATTTGAAAATAAACCTTTTTATCAACCCACTTTTGTCAATCTAAATTTAATATTATGAATTCCAAACACATACTGTCGTGGTCTAAAATGAAAGCAAGCATATTTTTAATACACTGCCTTTTATTACTAGTTGTATATTCCTATTTTCGAACACATCATGAATTGGAGGTTTGATTTTTCTCACAGCTTCCCTCTTTTATTAACATCTATGATGTATCCCATCACACTCCATTTGACTGTCAAATCTAATAGAAATTATCTAAAATAGAGTCACAACATTTCTCCAATAATACAAGTCATCAATGTTGCTCACATTCCTCCGTCTATGCCACTCTCAGAGACATTTCTTCCATGAATAGCAAAGTTGGAGGATCACAGACCAGCAGCCATATCATGGCTTATAATGATGATGAAGTGCTAAGACCTTAAGAGTGGATTTTTAGTCAACCTCCATTACATTTGGCCTTATAACCTTATTATAAAGTCATAGGGGTAACAGTAATTTTCGTAAAAAAACAAAGAAAAATAGAAACCAATAGAAGATCTCTTCCTAGCAGTTTATGCCCAAATACCGCAAATGTTATGAAGCTGCAACAGAAGCAACAATGTGTTGCGGTGGGCAAACCAAACATTCACAGAAAGAAAACTTGGTTCAATTAGAAAAGAAAAGCCACCTTGAACATGCCACCCGTCTTCGCATGTGTATTAAAGATATGCTTGCTTTCATTTTAGACCACGACAGTATGTGTTTGGAATTAACTTTCATGATGTGTTTTTTAACTTTCATAAATTGGAACACATCATGAATTATGACTAATTCACTGTACAGGTTAGTGCCAAAATAGTTTGTAAGTTCAGGCGCAATGTGGTAGCCATGATATAATAGCCATACGTATTCTTCTTATCAGTAGGATAATTAGAATAATCTGGCTTTGACTTATTTGGCTTAAACCACTTCACCAAACGTTTTTCGTCTTTGCGAAATTTAATAGATTTAGCCAGAAAAACAACTTTTACAAAATATGCCCTAAATTGTTTAACTAATAACTATGAATCCATTACATTTAAGTAAGAGAAATATAGCAGACTAATGTTTTATCTATAATGTAATAAATTAGAGGGCCCAACTAAAGCTCTATTCCCTGATTTATAAGGTATGGTGTTGCTATGAAAAAATTATTTTTAAGAACATCTCAGGACTATTGATATTTTCAGATTGGCTACTTCACATGTTAGGCTCACCTAGATGAATTAGTCATATGTAAGCAGAGGGAGTCCCATTGAGATTTCCTGAAGTGAAAGCTGTCTGGGAAGAGTATCCTGATTGCTCTGTAATAGTCATATTATCCTGAAGTGAATTAGTCATATGTAAGCCCGATTTCACATCTCAGATTGGCTACTCACCTTCATGAGTTAGTCAATTTTGGCATATTAGGCTCATAGTATTTATACATTCATTTGGTTTAATGAGTTTCAATCAAGACAGCAAGTGTCTACTCATAAAAAATCCATAAAAACCCAAAAAATAGTAAAAGCACATCATATTTCTTAACAAAAAAGAAATCTGAAACAACTCCCCAATATATGACCACCATATCACCGCATCGTTGAAATAAGGCAAAAGAGGAGCATACAAAGAGAGCACGTAGCTTGAAGTCTATTTAATAGAAGAAGAGGTAAATTTAAAGTGAGAAATCTGTGGAATGGAAAAAAATCGTACTTACCACAAAATCAAATCCTTTGAAGAGAGCTATGCTCCCTTGAACATTCCTCCATCTACGAAGCTTCACTTTGGGGAGAAAAGAAATGAGATAGAAGTGGAAGTGTGGGGCACCGGGAAAGATAATTTGGGAGGTGGGAGAGAGAATTATTTTACGCGGGTAGTTTTTTTAATAGGCGGAATAATTTTTATCCGCCCAAAATGGCTGACTCAGCATGTAAACGGCAGTGTTAAGCCAAGACAGTGATGTAAACAGTGTCAGATTTTTTTTTTGACAAGTCAACATTACAGGAAGGTTTATAGGCTGCGTTGGAAGAGAGTTTTTTACACCAATGTTAAAAGCCGATGACGTAGCCATGAATTTTAATGTGAACAGCTTTGGACTGGAGATGCTCTTAGTATATGGTTCTTCAACATCCGTAAACCCTTGTCATATTCAATGCAGAGTACTATTTTTGCTGCTCTCATCTACTTTCTGCTTTTGCTTTATTATTGTTGATTGTCATAAAAATAATTGATATCAGAGTCAAACATATTTTATCCAAATTTGTCTCATTAAACTTTGTCAACTTTTCCTTTTTTGTTGTTTCAAAAAACTTTAACACTTTCCTATTAAAATAATTAATTTGTGGTTCTGCTCAATTCTCTCTCCTATGGACAAACATAAATCACATAATTTTTACTTTTCTTATTTTTCACATACTTTGAACTTGACAAAGTCCACGGGGATGAAGGTAGTATGTCTTATTTATTGACAATTTTTTTCGAATTATGTGGGTTTATCCTATGCGCCGTAAGCATGAACTTTTTCATCTCTTTAAGCACTATAAGGCAATAATTGAGTATCTACTTGATCGAAAAATTAAAATTTTTCAAAGTGATGGAAGAGATTCCCCACTAAAATGGTGTAACCCAAAACATCTTCTTGCACTAATTCATACTTTGCTTATTCAGGCACGCTTACCAGCTTCTTTTTGGGTTGAACTACTTCATACTTCACAACTACTTTTATTATTTATCGTCTTCCAACTCCAATTTTTTGGGTGTGCGTGTTATTCTAATTTCATGAGTACATCTCCAAATAAATTGTCCCCTAGATCAATTCAATGTGCCATCTTAGGATACGCATTCGTTTCAAAAGGTTATCCGGTGAGCATAAACTAGACTTGATAAATAACATGCTCAACAAATTTCATCAAAAAAATTCATCAAGAGAGGCCCCAAATGACTTTGGTCGGACGGTAGATCCTGTCAGGTCACCCCGGGATTATCTCTACTCCATTATTTATATTATACTACTCCAATATTGATGTTATACTCCGTATATAAGTGTATTGTGTTTAGTTATTACCTTATCATCTTAGCTTGTCTAGTTGTCTATAATATCTTGTTTTATTTTTATTAGATAGATTACTTTATTAAATAATATATTCATTTTATCTGTATATTTTTACTAGATAGATTATATTTTGTTTAATTTTATTTAAATTTTTAGAGTGTCACACCCCTAGTACATTATGATTTGTTCACTTGTCTACTTCTCATCTTGTCCCTAGTACATTATTATTGAGGTTATGTCCCGAATGACCCGAAGGTCCAACACCAACCTTGGATCTAGGGTGCGATTTGCTACAGTAAAGTGTATAAAAGAAAATATAAAATCTGATTCAACTACTCAAATAACTTAGCTTGTATTAACGCAGTAATAACAATTACACAAAAATGACCGAACGGCTATTCAAGTCCAAACAGAAGAGCTGGAATGCTATTAGAGCTAGAGTGTAAATAAATGTTCACCCTTACAAATGAATTAAATGCTGATATTTATACTAGATGAGGGTATGAGGTGCCCTAATATGATTGGTTGCCTCTCATGCCACTTGATGCCCCCATGATCCAACATTAACAGCAGTCGGTTACTTGAGCAATTCTCATTCGGGATTAAGCTCAGCTAAACCACCAATCAGGAATAAGCTAATTACCAAAGTGCTAATTACATCCCGTTCGAAATGTGTCGAACGGGGCTTGCCATTCGGGCCTGATGGTTTTCCTTGGACCTTCCCTTGCGTCTGGGCTTCAGGGATATTTTAGGCCGGTATATTGGGCCGGACCTTAATATCCCATCAATTATGATTTGTTCACTTGTCTACTTCTCATCTTGTCCAAGCTCAATTTGGACTAAGAAGAACATGTTAATTTTCTCATACATAATATTTTCCCATTTTTGTCCAGCACCCATATTAGGCCTACTTTAATAGATGCTAGACTAAAATCTTCGCCCAATTTTTGTCCAACATACATATTAGGCTTAATTTAATAGATGCATACAATATTGCATGTTTTTATTTGGACTTATTTCAGTCCCAGATCAAATCAGACCTCGATATAGTTATAAATTGCACAGAGATCAGACATATATCAAACCAGATCAGAGAATTTCAGTCTAATTAAAAACATCGTTAGAGCCCGCTTGGTACCCTCTTTTCTTTAGTTTACCACAATTATCAGTCCTATTACCAAACACGCAACTCTATGTTTTTCGCACTGAATTGTGTAAAAATCAAAACAAGTAAAGTTGAAATTAGTTTTTGTGATTGAATGAGGCTCAAGTTAATGTTGAGAACCACTTTAAATATTTTTCATATAACATTTTCTTTATTTTGATTACCAAAATATATTTTAAGTACAATTGCTCCATATTCAACAAATTCAACCAATTCGGCCACTCTAATCAAAATTTCATCAATTTCACCAGATCTAATAGATTCTGTCTATTTTAGTGATGCGGTTTCATATATGTCACTATATATATCAACA